CCAATGGGCGCACAAACTCGGCGCGATCAGGCAGCGTCCCTTTGGCGCGCCCATGCCGGCGTGATCGCACCAGCTGTTCCACCACTCATTGATTGCGCTGCAGCTGCGTACGCAGTCGGCCCGGGGCAGGTGAGACGCGCCCACAAGGTCGGAATGCGCCCGCCCTTTGCACTCTTCCGGAGTGCCATGCAAGGACGAGCGAGAGTTTCCTTCTGCACTGCGCCCCCGGATAGGAAAATGAGCGCCCGCAGATAGTCAAAATGAGAGCATATCTCTCTAGAGAGTGCGTCGAGAGGCAGCCGGCCCCCTCGTGGCACCGATTATCTGCACTATACACCAGGCGACACACGATTACGTTGCGATCCTTTATCTGCGACCGAACGCATGACACTCGGAATGGTTCTGGATTTTCTGCTCTGTAAGCCACAAATTATGATGACAGAAATCGAAAAAGCTCGAAGTGTGTTATGTTGATGTAATGCATGACGATACAGCCTACTCTCCATATAGCATCTTACGAAACAAAATTTAAGTTGCGATAGAGCGTCGCTGGCGACGCAGATCGCATTGCGTTCAGACAAGAAGGATGGCCAGGACGAGTGCTCGTGCAAGACCTACTTCATCATAATATCTGGGGTGTCAAGTGCCATAACCCCGATATATATGATTATCATGAGAGACGCTGTAGTGGAGGTATCCGAGAATGGAGTTCTTTAAACGTGTACCGACATCGCATATCACATGGGGATTTAGCATTTTCACCTCCAGCGCCACCGCGGTAGGATGGAGCCCGGCGGGTCAGCAGCCGAGCACTCACTGCGACGGACGAAGGCGTATCGCGAACGGCTTGGAAGTAATGACAACGTATACGCACGTGGCTTACTTGCTAACATATTTCATCCCAAACGCACAAACTATGAATTTAGGCCATTCACATAAAAATCGAGAATACCAGAATCGGTAAACGACCTATGGTCGAGCACAACGCAGTCACAAGGGCGTATGCGTCGACGAGGCACATTCAACATTACAATGCCCTCAAAATGGCTTCTGGAAACAGCAGCTTGGCATGATCAATCTGAACGAAAGTAAGAGGTGCATAAGAGGGCAGGTCAAGCTCAATGCGCCACTTGTATCGTTCAAAAATTGTAATAAACGTTAAACATAATAACACGAGAACTAATCGACTAAATTGAGTAAAGTTCGCTTTGGAGCCTGTAATTGGTAAGAAAAAACTACGTTCAACTGTAATTGGGTCTTTGAAAAGTGTGCGAAACTGAGCCAGTGAAAGCAATATGGCAGAGCCACAATAGACAGCAACGGAACATAAAAAGAAAAAAAATAATGAAGCTGACTTCTGCTCATTCCACAGATGTATGGTCAGTTTAACTACACTATCTGTCAGCAGTCAGCCCAAGTTGCGTCTTCCTGGAAATATACATACAGTGAAACCGGCACAGTAAATGCACAATGCCAGAATTATGGGGAAAAAAAAAAGTAGCGAACTAAAGCAGTCTTATTGACTTCATAAATGGCCTTGAAGAATGAACAAATTTCCTCCTTTAGAGCGACGACGAGCAGCTGACTGTTCCATTCTGAGTTCTCGCACCAGCATCAAGACAGAGGCGGTTCGCACAGCGCCAGTTGAGACATTTGCGGATTTGACAGCTGCCAAAAAAAACACGGCGGTAGAGACAGACCCTACAGTGCTAACGTCACAACTCCCAGCTCTGCTTTGTTGGCGTGTTATTTTTTCACCGACGCTGAAGTGAGCATACGTGACAGCCTCCATATTGTTATCGGAATGACAGCAGCAGTTACACATCTAAAAAGGCGCTCTTACGCTTGCACCTTGGAGAATCTAAACGAAAAGCGGCAACGTCCACAAGCGATCAGGCAGGTTCTTTAGGACTCAATCATTACACTTTGTTTTTCTTCCCCATTTTTTTTTTTCTGAATAATTCAGCAACTGTGAAGCAAATACTTACAGACTACTTCGCTCCCGCCTAACACCTTAGCAAGGTAGTCTGAAAATATTTAGGACTATTGGAAGAAACCTAATGAGACGAAAAAGCCACACACATGAAGGGGAACATTCAACAGATGTGTATGTATTCGCAGAGGAAAGGGCAGGCCACCAAAGCGACGCTGCAGGCGCTGACGACATCACCCTTGAAGAAGGAGCCAGTACTGGGTTAATTAATGATGACATTTACAGTCTGACTACAAGGTACGTCACAGTGAATAACAAAAGCTAAACAATGGATATCATCTTCAAATACTACAGAGACGTAAAGACACGCCGACGGCGTTTTGAGCGTACGCGTGCACAATGCGAGCCAGGTTAGAGACAAAAAGCACCCACATAGCCCTTTACATTCTCTGGAAGTGCGACTGCAGTCTAGCGCAAAAAGGCAAGAGAGGGTCGCGGAAATATATAAGATGGTCAGAAAATATAGAAGTACCGCCTCTTTGCGCCGACTGCAGCGAGCCTTCACAAACGGTCAGACGCTGTCCTTCCGGCTGGCTTAACATCTGTCAAGGCGGCCACTGATTGGCTTTTACAAATACGCATCTCCGCTAGGGCTCTCTCTCTTTCTCTGCTATATCCTTTTTACCGGAACTGGTGGGAGGCCAAACCTGTAACGGACCGAAGGCTTCGCCCTTTTACTGACTGACGGCTGTCGCGCACACATCCAGTACAGCTGCGCAGCGCAAAGCTGCGAGAGAAAGCGATCGAGACTGAACCTGACGAACAAAAACTTCACACGAAAAACGTGCTTAAAGACGCATGTAGCCTGGAAATATACTTGACGCCAGCGTAACTGCGCATAAACATTATGCGAGAACTCGAGAAACAAAAGCTGCGTTTAATTATTACCTAGGAGAAAATGTCATTTCAAAGACAAGGAAAGTTTGTCAAGCCCTGCCATAGCATAAGCATTAAAGGTGGCACTAAAAAAAACGATAAATCAGTTTTACACTGATTAATTTCTTTTGAGACACCTCCTGCTGGTAATTTTGAGACTCTGAATTCACTTCTAAAAAAGGAAAGAAAGGCTTACATTCTTTTTTTCTTGAGTGCATAAACTACGACGCCTGTACGTAAGTCATTTTGACGTCATGAATTTCAACGTATTGTTTCGTATTTTGTTCGTGTTGGTTGAATAAAAACTCCCAAAACCAGCTATATACTTAGTCTCTCTTTTATAACGTAACGTGTTCCACATTTCCCTTCAAAAAAGTATCCCTGGTCCATGCAAAAGCCAGCCGAAATTCATCACACGACGACAATATATATAGTGCGCTACTTCAAGGAAGGCGGTGTCATCTCTTCATACTTCCAAAGCTCATTCTTGCGATAAGGGTTTTTTTTTTCAACTATATGACTGCAAATTGTTATTACAGAAATGATTTTGCTATTGGTGGCCTCTAAGATGCAATCTCTACAAAATTGATTACTGTGAAGCGCTTGGCGAATCCATCTTAAAAGAAAGTTTTCCTTGGCGGCCATAAACAAACATATATTCATATAACTTTATCTGAATAGCCTCATGATTTTTCACTGGGCCCAAACATACATACGTCTTATTGAGTAATGAGGCACTAGTGAGCCAGTAAAGTAAATCAATATTCTTCGTGCTTGAACTTGATATTGCGCGAAGCTCACCCGAGTTAGATCAACTATCGCAAAAGTTGAAACAAAAGTTGGTGACGAAGAGCCGCCATGCTGCTTTCACACATGCTCTTTGGATCAGGTGTTTCAGTATACTTCCAATAAATTAAAGATACCCTTGACCAACTCCAACTGCGAAATTCTGTGTCAGCCCCCCAAATCTCTTCTTCCTGAACGCGTGATATCAGTTTAGCTACCCCGCTGATGATCCACTACGACGAAATGCTGCAAATAGCCCTACTGGCAAAACAGAAACAGGAAAACTACCAACTTGTATGTTCGCGCGTATTTTCCGTTCAAGATTGAGGCGCACACTCCGAAAGCTTTCTCGAACACACATGCCAAGTTTCGGGAACCTTCTGCGAAGCGCTGAGCACCTTTGCAATAACATGCAACCGGCTTTGGGAAACAAATCATACTCTGCCGCGTATCAGATTAAATGTCAGCGGACGCAATTAATTAGAAGCGCGTTTGGTCTTCATGCCAGAGGCAATGCACGTTTATGACGCATATGCGCCGTCAAAGACATCGCAAATCGAAAGCGCGAGCTGACAGCCACACCGCTGCCAAGTACACGTCATGACAGGTACGGCAAGAAGAATAGTTGACGCGAAAACGCACTCAAATAAAAATGATCGCAAGTGACTGAAATTTACAGAGTTCTGCACTACGAATCCATATGCCCTGATGGAAGCGGCTATATTTGCATTATTTAGTCAGACAAGCAATGATGTAGGGTACCTACTGCTCAAGCAGCAGCAAGTTTACCTTTTTTTAAGTAGATGCATCACCCGATCAGGGTGTCGCACGACAGCTGAGCAATGTAGAATTTCTCACTCCTGTGTTAATGAGTACGGATTGATGTGAAGAACAGAAATCTGGATCTAATCCCCATATCACTGTAGCCTAAATGTTCAGAAATGAATTCATCTCTTTCCAACGCAATGTCGGTGATACGAGTACTTTACATACGTAAACAAAGCGAAATTTGATCAGCATACCGCAAGTTGATTCCCGCAATGATCAGCAAACGTCACTTCATATTTGTACGTGTGACAGTATGCTACATCGAAGGTGCTCCCTTACACACACAATACGGTAAGGCACTCAAACTACTACTCTTAACCCACCTACAGCGCAAAATTCGGTGGGTTGCACACGCGCCGTTACATGGCTCAAACGATTCAGTAAGCAAAAGCTACTCATGCGGAACGGTAATGAGGGAACTCTAAAATCCCGTCAACGCAGCATGTAAACTAAGTAAACTAGAGATAACAGTAAAATCAGTAAAATTAGAGGATGCGGTGAACAATAAATGACTCACCCTAGAAGCCAGACGACGATGCAGAAAGCGAAAAACTTTATCGCCATCCCGAATTTTTGGTCATCGCAGCTTTGGTCATGCTGGCGTCCACACGAAAAGAACTTCGAGTCTCCTAGGTGGACGCTCGCATCGTCGGAGTGCTTCACCAACAACCGTGGAAGCTGTGACAGAAAAGACTGACGTGTATTAAGAGCGTCCTTGCGGCGCCTGCAAAGGCTTTGAACATTGGTTCACGCAGCACGTAGGTTCGTCGCACTGCTGGTAGCTTGGGAAAGAGAGAATGCTATGACGTCTTCGTACCTTGGCAATGCTGGGCGCGGAGCCTTGTCATAACACTGGTCTCGATAAGCAGGAACTGCGCCGAACGGTCAAGTTTCTCGGCAAAGTATCGAGCATGCTACGAGTGACAAACGTTGCGCAGCCAAGGCCTAATTTTCATAGCTTTTCTCCCGCACTTTTGCTCTCGAAACCTACCGGCCTTGCCTCGATTGGAACGGCTACAAACCAACGCCTCCGACTTTGTGGATCAGCTAGCGCCACCTTTGAAAAACAAGCGTGACTAAACAGTGTTTACAAATTATAAAATAAAAGTAGAGCAAAATAAAACTTGGCAAAATAAGTTAGCTAAATAAAAATAATAGCGTGAGATTGTTTTTTTTAACTGATGGCTAAAATAATCTTGCGCAACGTGCTTCACGCAGTTGTTCGGCTACAGATAGCGCGGTCAGCCAAGAAGGTGCTCATACCGCGAAATTTAAACAACAAAATCAGATCGCACGACACATTTTAACGATTCAATACAATTCTCAGATGAGAACCACTACATCCTACCTTCTCCGTCGTATTGCTCACAATAACCACACACTACAACACGAGAATATTGAAATACTAAGTTTGTAAAACATTATCCGTAGTGTGTGGCGACGGGTGGTTGTAGCGCACTCCGCCTGGCTAAGGTGGCTAGAATTATAGTCTGGCAGTGCTGGGCAGTATCGCAGATAGATGTATCTTAGATACTTCGATACTCCCTGGGTATCTTGTATCGGTATCGCGATACGTCACGCAAAACGAGTGCATGTATCTGCATTTCTGATACATGCGATACTACATCGTGTGTCTTAAGATACAAGATAGTACTGTGGTAATGCCGCCGTACGGAACAATAAAAGTTGACCTGAATTCCGGTGCTGAAGCTGATATTGCTGCCCCTAAACCACGCACATAAAAGTAACAGAGTGGCATTCTTGTATACTTCAGCAGAGCGCTCCAGCGAGCATAGACTATGTGATTTATCTATATACGCATTCTCATAGGTGGATCAGACCCACGTGATGGCGCTTGGGTTATCTCGGCAAAAATAATTCAGTGAACGTGTGCGCGCAGCCTACCTTTTGTTTTATAAATGTCTGGCACGGTGGTATTTGTGTCGTTACCATGACACTTGCTCGTAGCTGCGGTACTGTGCTGCGTACTCGTGCAGCATATTTCACGCCCATTCTGGTGCCTTTATAGAGCACGCTATCGAAGTTTGTCTTTTGTTCTTTCTGATGAATCATTCGAGAAGTTGGTTTCATGTTAATATGAATGTTAGTCAGAGTGCTTCCTTTGCTCTTCTTCGTTTGCGTCCAGGACTTCCGTGTAGCTTAATTAATTCTCAAGTCTGTTTATTGTGATACGTCTTTTGCAATCTGCTGCGATCTCTACTTTATTCTTAGTTTTTTAACTCTCTGCAAATCTGGTCTTACTTCGTACTTACTTCATACGTTGCGGGCTTTCTTTAAAAGACAAAAAATATTCGCCACGCAGCATGTACGCTGCCAAAAAGAAAGAAAAAAAGAAAAGGTCAGGCATTTTTAATGCGCTCTGCATCTGTGGGAGCGCAGTTGGTCCTAACTTGAATATAACAAATGTGGCATAATTCTTATTATTTATTTCATCAAATAAGCTCAATATAAAAATAGCATAACGCGCTTCACATGGCAGTAAACCATATATCTGATTTCATAAGGTGGTAGTTAACAACTTTTTTTGATATTTTGGAAATACGTGAAACACCCTGTGCGATTACTCACATTGGTTAAACGGGGCTGCCCGCCTATTGGACTTATATATGTTCATTCTCGTTTTTTTAGGTCACCGTCAGTATCATTATTGTTACAAATGTGCAGGTAAGCACAGCTATAAGTGGTAATATCAAATAGCAAAGATGTCGTATTTGCAAGTTTTTTCAGCGCACGAACATAGCAAAAAGGAACAGGGTAGTTGGAACGTGATTACCTGGCTGGGCTAAAGGCAATCGAGGATCCGTTACATGTTTATTGATACTGACGCATTGATGAGACTTGTATTGAGCGAAAGCTGGCCCCGCCGCGGTGGTCTAGTGGCTAAGGTACTCGGCTGCTGACCCGCAGGGCGCGGGTTCGAATCCCGGCTGCGGCGGCTGCATTTCCGATGGAGGCGGAAATGTTGTAGGCCCGTGTGCTCAGATTTGGGTGCACGTTAAAGAACCCCAGGTGGTCTAAATTTCCGGAGCCCTCCACTACGGCGTCTCTCATAATCATATAGTGGTTTTGGGACGTTAAACCCCACATATCAATCAATCAAATCAATTGAGCGAAAGCTGTTATGAGATCACACTACTCGGGTCACGCGCGTTTGTGCACCACCGCCAATGTCCGCCACCTAATCGCAAGAAGTTGGGGAAAAAAAATCTGGCACCAATGACACAGTGGGGCTCGAACCCGAGTCTGCTGTGTTCCAGCCCAGTATTCTACCACTGAGCTTCGTCGGTGTTTTTTTTTCTTTCATGATATTTATTACAATGCATGTTAAAATGAACATAAAATGACACTCATAGTATATAACATAGGTTCAACCACAGAGCAACAAAAAGTGCTTTAGCGTTACTAAAGAAACACTCAACAATTGATTAAGTTCAGGAGAACCGTGAGAGTTCTTCACATTGCGTTATACACAAGAGGTTACAAAGCCAAGCACCTCACCAAAATGGGGTACCAGTCCAGTTGGAAGTCCATTTCATCACAAATGTCTTTTAGGTGGACAGCCATTAAAATGAAATGTCAGCTCGAAGAAATGGTGGGTTCTGCGTTGCGACCTTGCATACGCGTCTTCCATAGACTGTGCATACCCACGAGAAAAAAAATATCAAAAGGCACTTCATCAAGTGATGTCGGCAAAAGATAACGGATAGTGTAAGAATTCATATCAAATTTTTTTCTCAGAGTCTGTTGAAGGACATCCCAGAACAAGATAGCATCCTTGCACCTAACAAAGCAGTGTTCTATTGTCTCTGGCGTATCACATAGGTGGCAGTCAACACAGGAGACGAAAATACCCTTTCTTTTTAACCATGTTTTGACGGGCAGCGTTTTAGTATGTAAATTATAGAGTAATGTTTTAGAATTCAGAGACACATACATTTTGCGCACTCGTTTCAAGACGTCATGACCTGGCATATCGGAGTACAATGAAAGGTACAACGGAGGCGAAAAAGCATATATAGTGAACCTTTGTATAATACTTTATACAAGGCACTGTATACAGGTATTCTATAGAAAAGCGAGCTTTAAGGAACCTAACTGCAGAAGAAACTTCCTGCATGAATCCCCACAAACACGGTCATTCGGAAAAGGTGAAAGACATGACTAGGTCAGGGAAGCATTCCACGAGATTAACCTGCAAGAATGAACGAATTGCGGGATTGGAATCGTCCCGAAAAAAGAAAAATCGGGAAACTGTTTGCCATAGATATAGATGTTTTAGTCCTAACTCACCAGCACTAACTGGCCGGAAAATGTTGTCACGACGCATGGGCTCAAAAGTAGAAGACAATATGAAAGTTGCAAAAATTCAATAAAATCGTTGTACACAAAGTTTTGCTCAATGGACAGGTTACAATACGTAGTAGAGGTTTGTATCTAGAAAAGTATTACAAGCTTCAGCTCTCCCAAATATTGATAGCTGATGGGGAACAAATGTCTGGGCTTGTCGTTCAAGCTTGGGGACACGCTCTTTCCAGTAATGCGCACTGAATCTATACGCATCTAACGGTACACCGATGTACGTTGGTGGAGTTCTTGTCCAAAATAATTCCTGCGTATTGACTAGGTGTGCTACTTCACGAGCCAAACCATAATCCCATAGTCTTCGAGGCGTTCAAACGAGCTCCTGATACCATACCAAATCCGTCTATTACGAATAACACATTTTCTATGCTTAGTTTATCAGTGCAGAAGACTGCTACGTCGTCTGCAGCTAATACTTTCATTTCAGTTCCTAATATGTTGAATCCGCGAATACTACTTGATCGTAATATACTTAAGCATAGCGGCTCTAGATAAAGGGCAAACAGAAGTGGGGACATAGGCAGCCCTGCTTTACAGACGAACAAATCGAAACTGGTTTCGACAGCTGACCATTAACAACAAGACGAGTCGAAGATTGATTATAGCATATATAGTTCGACGCCTTTAAGCACAACAGTGCCGACAATGGCATGTTCCAGGAGAGAGAAAAGAAAAGAATGACTAACACGATCGAAGGCTTTTGCAAGGTCTACCTGTAACATTGCAAGGTGTTTTTGTTGTCCATAACAGTACTGAAGGACAGTACGAGCAACGCGTATATTGTTTTGTATAGATCGGCCCTGAATCCCAGATGTTTGTTGGGACCCAATGAGAATGGGCATCGCAAATTGCAACCTATTTGATAATACTTTGGTGAAAATTTTGTAGTCAACGTTTGACAGTGCTATTAGCCGGTAATCCTCAACAGAGCAAAGTTTTTCCTTGTCCGAATTTTTCAGCATCAAAACTGTGTGGCTCTTGCAAAAGGATATCAGGAGTGTCTCCATGTCATTACTTCTTTTAATGGTATCCAGCAATGTAGGAGAAAGAGCATTTTAAAAGTTTTGTGAAATTCAGTAGAAATGACGTCAGGGCCAGGTGACTTCGATGAAGGTAAGCTGCCAATAGCGTGCTCAATTTCCTGTATTGTAATCTAGGACAACTAATGGCTGCACAATCATTATCTTCCAATGGACTCAAAAGGGAAACAAAACTCGTGGTAAGGTTGAAGCCAGGGTTACGGAGAGCACTAAATAAACTTAGTACTTTTCGAATGTCGACGTTATGTCTCTTATGTCTGTTTCAAGAACACCATTAGAGTAAAGATCTGGGATTACTTTAGAAATTGCGTGGCGTTTTTCATCGAGAAAAACTTGACGCGTTGGCTGTTCTGAATTTAAGGTACGTCTATTTCGAGACCTAACACGTGCTCCTCTGTAACGAGCGGCATCATATCTTTGAAGTTGACATTTATTATCTTCAATTTCATTTAAGTACGATCTCGGTGTCTCGCATTCCATTTTAGAAAGGTTGCACAAACTTTTAAGCAGTGCCTTTTCCTCGTTCTTCCTATAGAAAGACTTGGTAGCTGCAATCTTTATAGGCATAACACAAACTCCTTGTTTAAATAGCTCCCAAGCAGCATGTATATTTAAACCTCTTGAGAAAGACTGCGTTAATGTTGTCCGCACACGATTATTGAATTCCTGATCACAGAGGAGCTCGGTGTTTAACTTCCAAAAGGCCCATTGTGGTCGTAATTGCCTTCTGCAATTTGCACCAATTTGTGCAATAACGATACAGTGATCAAGAACGACACTGGTGCAGTGGTACAGGAGATTTGGCGGGAAAGGAGTGATGAGGACACGTAAATCCGGTCAAGGTGAGCATAAGAGCTTCGCTGAACTCTTGTATATGCAGTCACTTGGCCCGACACACCAATGTCAATGAGCCCGGTGTTGTCTACAATTCCGAATAAAAGCTCGCCACTCCTGTCTGGCTGACCATTATGGTTACGATGGTTAAGGTCACATACACAATTGAAGTCACCCATTAGCACAGTGACACCTTATATTGCGCTTATTGCCTCATGTGGTCAGTCGGAGAGGTCGATGGTGAGACTTCTCTTGAACCCTCACCAGGCCAAGATCGTGACCGCCGGCACTTTTCTTTCCGAGTGTTCTGATTGGTTGTTTGGCGACGGCGCGTCTCTTTATTAACAGTCCCTGTGTCACCCTCGTTGCTTGATTCCGAATGTCACACACAGGTCCCGTTAATTAGGGAGGTGATCGCCGGGCTAATTCTAAGGGCCGAAGTATCGGCCCCCCGAACCGCACCACGAAAGCGTGGACAATTTAGAAGTGGTCCTTTTTGGCGCGCCAACGGACGCCGGCTGTGGCCCAAAGAACAAGTCAGAGCCGAGAGTTGATAAACAAAACAGAATTATATTCTCAATAATGGCAGATCAAAAAACAACACACACAAGTATGCACACTCCACAACAGTTGAGTACAATATGTCACCAAACAAACAACGTACTACACAGTACAATCAGCCACACTTGAAACAACGGACAACAATACGCACTACAATGCAGTCGCATGCATTGAACAACCAAGACACTTAAAGACTAAAGAGATAGAAAACCTATTCAGTCCAAAGATCTTGGAACCAAAGTCTAGATGATACTCTTCCGAGAATCACTCACTCAAAGTCCAGCGTTGTCGTTCCGCAGCTCTCGAAGTTTCTCTTCCAGGAAACCTCCCGTCTTCAATAGGCCACTCTCCAAGCTTCAAACTTCTTCGCCGGAAACACGTCGGCTTCACACACGCCGCTGTTGCCACGCGTCTTCGCTCGATAGCGGTAGACACACGCTCTTGCCTGTAGCTCGAGCCTTCACCCCTCAGGTGGATCCCCTTCATCTCTTGCTTTGCCTCTATGGACAAAACCTTCGCCGACTACACGGCGGTATACCCTACGCGCTCTGGCGCTAACTTCCGTCTTCTCCTGATCTCTCATCTCCGCTGCTCGGTTAAATACCTTCCGCGCGACATTCCAGAAGGTTCTCCTCATTTCGTCGGCGCGATACGCAGCGAAGGCTGGGGAGAGGCGCGAGACTGTACGAGGGCCGTCCCCGACCGATGACTCAACCCCACCGAACCCGCCCCTTTCCTTCTAGAACTTTCCAGAGCTTGCCCGGCCGCCGCTGTGGGGTGAGCAGTGATGCCAACTTAGCGGATTCCCCGCTAAGTCTGGTGGATTTTATTTTATATTGACGGGGAAAAAATCAGTCTAGCGGCTAG